AAGGAAATGGTTTTTAAGCTTTGCCTTAAAAGATAAGAGTAATTTCCTGGAAGAGACAGAGAGAATATTGTTCATGAGCTATTGAAGGTTTTAGTATAGGATGGTGGTTATCAGAAATGTGTTTTACAAAGATGCAAGTGGTGTTTGAAGCCAGGTAGATTAGAAGTTGGGAGCTGATTCTGTAGGGAAATGTGTAGTTTGTGTGATTTTCATTCTGAGCACAGTGCTACAGATGCAGCAGCAGAATTTTTTAACACTTCAAATTTCCTGAGTCATGAATGGGCTTGAGGTAGTGTTATGGGAACAATAACTACCAAATTCACAACCTTGTCAGAGGAGCAGAGTTCTTGATCTCATAACATCGAGGAAGGAAGTGTGAACCGAAGGAGAAAGTCCAGAGAGCTTTCTGGGGTTAAGCAGAAGAGTGGCTCCTGGATGTGGGGGAAGGGTCTCCAGAGGATGGTTCTGAGGCTCTTTGTCAGGGGTGATTTATACAGCAATATCATAACACGGTAAAATGTGGGTCAAGCAATCAACCTATAAGATTACAAGTGTAGTGGCTTAGCTAATAGTGATCCAATAGGGAAATGTACCTAGCACGTACAGAAAAAGCAAAGACTTGGGAAAGGATGGGCCTAGAGGTTCTGGTAACCCACTATGCTTCTGAAGCCTATCTGGACTCAGTGGACCAGATTGGTGATAATAAGAGTGAAAGCCTAAATCGCTCCCCACCTCAGGGATACTAGTAGGTCCAGCTATTGCATTGTCATCCTGAGCCCTGCCTCTTCAGCTTCACCTCCCGCCGCAGTCTTTGTGAGTCTCATCCTCTGTGCTGACTTCCTCAAGGGTCCAGCCCCGCTCTGACTGTGTGTTAACTTGTCTATATCTTATCTGTCTACAGTAGTCTCATTGCAGAAGCAATAATAAAACCCCATAGAGTGACTCTGAGGCATCCACACAGTTAGCAACTACAGGATTAAATATCTGTCCTCACTGAAAAAGACTAGAAGAGGATGAAAAGGAAATGGGGGCAAAAAAGAAAGACATGTAGCAATAAACGGTGAAGAAGATATTTTACTGTTGGGGACAGAGTTCAGTGGTAGAACACTTGCCTGGCATGTGTAAGGACTTCGATTCAATGCCCATTGTGCTAAAACAAAAAATGATATTCTATTTTCTGTCAATTGCACAACTTTCAAAACAACTTTTATTATCACTTGAATTCAACGAAACACACATGTCAAAAGTTCTGTTTAATTTTATTACTATATTCAGCTATGTATTTCATTTCTATTTTTCTATTTTTTTCTCATATTGCCCCCAACAAATTTTGTCTAAGTAAACTTATCAATATTCCTTCTTTCTATTTATACCAGTCAAGATTTTCAAATTACTTTAAGATTTTTAAGCTTAGGGGCCGAGGAGATAGCTCAGTAGAATAAGTGCTTGCCTGGCAAGAGCAAGGGCCTGAGTTCAATCCCCAGTTACGGGAAAAAAAAAAAAAAAAAAAAAAGATTTTTATAACCTTTCCCAAATACACCGATGCTGAAACTGACTCTCCTTGCTGTCGTAGACATTTTTAAGAAAATGTAAGGTGCTGTGAAAGAAAACACTTACAGTTGTGACTGCTTTAAGGGATTTGCTCTGTGCTTCCCTTCTCAAATTCTCTGTTTATTAAAATTGCCAAATACATAAGGATAGGACCTGTAATTGTTTAAATGTTCATTTAATATAGTAACATTTAATTATGCGATTTCAATAGGGACATTTTAATTCTAGATTTTAATCAGACATTTCTGTGTCTAAATGAGATCTAGTTTTATTTTAATTAAATGGTAGAGCATGCTAAAATCTTGCAGAAAGAAAGCACAAGGAAAGAACCCCAATGAAAGACTCAGATTTCATTTTTGTCAATATAAAGTCACTCGGCTCTCTATGGAACCTGTCAGACAAGTTTTAAAATCATGGTGTAGGACCCATCTGCACAGCTAGCATTTTCTCTAATTTAATCTCATTGAAGCATCTGAGTGAATTACTTAGCCAAGTGTATGGTGTTTTGTTAAAAATATTAGTATCATGGCAAAAAGCAAAGTTCTCATATGAAGTGAATAACCAAGGTAATGACAAGGTCATTCAACACATTTTTATTAAAAATATTTAATGAAGGCTAAGATTAAGTTTTTGAAACTAATATTTTAATGAATTATTTTCTACTTTTATCATATAGTTCAGCTTAATTATATCTATTTTATCTCTTAAATTATCCACATTTTATCCTGGTCACATAAAATAAGTGAAGTATTTATAAGATTCTTGGTTCACTGTATCCATTAAAAGTATCAAAATCTCTTTTTAATGATTCTAAAACTCCATTCCCTAGTCAAGTCTGTATTTAATAGATATTATTGAAAGCATAGTGTTTACTATATTTTTTTCTTCTAAAGACTTTACTGTTTTAGAGCAGTTTTAAGTTCATAGAAAAATAGAGAGGAATGCACAAGAGAGTTCTCATATATCTGATCCTCCTATACATTAATTTTTTAGAAAAACATATGCACTTGGGAACCTCTCTTTGAATCACAATATAAATTTTCAAAGTGTTTACAACTGACACTGTGCTTTATTAGAAAGTTCTTTCCTATGTTGAGTTGAAACCTTTTCTTATATTTTCACTATAGCGAAGGCCTCGTGGCTAAGCAGAACATGTCTGACTCCACAGTACAGCCTTCCCAGCACTTGAAGACAATTATACTCGCCTCTGTTCCTGCTTTAGGCAGCTCCTCATGAGTCATGGCTTTGAATCTTTACCATCTCATATTCTGAACAGATCCCAGTTAGTCTGTGTGCTCCAAGTTGACTACAGGGCCCCAGCTTAAGTGCGAACATCACAGGAGAGGGAGACCCACTCTAACCTTGTTTCTGAGAATATATTTTTATTAACACCCCATGTCCTCCACCCACACATAACCCACATGCCTGCCTGATACCATTAGCTGTCAAAATGACTTATATTCTTGATTATACTTACTAAATTGAAGTTTGATTAGAATTGGAGCTTAGATCAAAGGATTCAAGGATAAATGTTGGACAGACCCAAAGTATTGATGAAGTCTGAGGAATTCATGTTTTAGATTGAATAAATCTTAAGGAATTTTAAAAGCCATACACTGATAAAGAGACTGATAAATCTTTTATAAGGGTTTTAAGTACTCTCACCTCCAATCCAATATAAAATAATTTACTCAGAAATGTACAAGCACTATTAACAGATTTTTCTGTTTAAATAATATATTAGTCTCTATAACTTGGAGCATCAATAAAATCATCCAGGATTCCATCATGGAATATTTTTAAGTTTGCTCACAAGCTAAGAAGAAAATTGAATTATTTCAGAATCTATGCATTAGTGAAAACTACAAATGTCACAAGTTTTATTTCAGATAAGTAGAAAACTGGGGCACTGAAGTTTGGAGTAGATCTCTGCACCATACGTGCTCTGAATGGTTTGATTCCTACAGAGAAGAAGCCAGGAAAGCACTGATGTGAGACTCGCCCCTCCCTTGCCATTTTCTCCCTTCCAGGAATGGTATCTGCCAAAGTGCTCATCCCCATCTGTGATGCTGCCAGGATCCGTCCATCCGTGCAGCATGCCTATGTAATTTGCTTTTTCTGGATAGCCATATCAGGGCAGTGTTGACTGATTGAAAGAATTAAAAGCTACAGGCTCTGGGACAAGAAAACTGCCCTATGGGTGTATGATCTAGTTACAGTTTGGACCCTTTTCAGGCCAGGGAGCTACAACTCTTGGTATATACAGAAAAAGCTAAATTGCCTGGACTAACAGACAGCTAAACAGTGCAAATGATGCTCATTGCAGGTGTGTTGTTCTTAGAGTGTTGCACAGAGACCTACCTAGGCAAAAGATGAAACAATAGAATGAAGAAGCAGCTGTGGGTCAAACTTTATAATTATATAAAGAATTATATAAATCAGAAAAAGGTTCAGTGTGAATGACAAAAAGGTCTTAGTATTAATTATAATACATGCACACAAGAAAATAGTATGCATACAGTTATGAGGGCACTAAAGGAAACCTTCAGTGGCTTCATGAAAAATATTAATGAATTCAGTTTTAATGCAATGTGCACATTAATATCTCATGTGGCAACAAATTATATATATTATATATATTAGGAGAAAATAAAGAGTTATTAAAACTGAGATATGAAGACAAGAAATGAAATAAACCTAAGCTTAAAAAGATTTATTGCTAGAGTTGTTTCTAACTTTGAGATCGTATTCTACACATATTCTAAAAGTGATGAAGTTACAACTTTTGTAATAAATGCTGTTATCTGAAAATCTAAAAAGAAAGCAAATGTGACAGGCATAAAACTAGGTTACAAAAAAAAAAAACAATAGAAACTAGTTCTGAGGAACTTGAATCAAAACAGGGAAGCTTTAGAGAGTTAGAGAAGAACTAAGGGTAGGTTGATCCAAAATCTGGAAGGATGTCAAGGGGGGTTTCATATCATGGGAGCCCCAGCAGCTGAAGGCAAAGCAGACCAGGCAGACCCAGGGAATAACTAGCCTGCTTAGAGCTTTCCACTGCCACTTCTGCCACTTCACAGTTAGGTATGAGCCAGCCACTTGATCCTCTGCCCTTGCGCTCTGCATACTCACCGGTTCTCCTTACATCTCTCATTCTCATTGACACAATTCAAAGGTCTAAAAAGATTGTCTAGGATGAAGTCATGTGTATCACTAGCCCATTGATTAATACCTATGCCCATGGCCAAGCTTGTAGGATGATCCTCCCTTGGGGATTCACTGCCTCTTTCAAATTCTAGTGAAGTCACATCATTCATTTTGAGATGTTTATCAGTCCCTCACACCAAAAGAAAGGCATTGGATTCTTAGTGCCAATAGTCAGGAAGAATGATAGGCAACTATTTTGTGAGGACTGTTCTGCAGATCCTTAAAATAGATTTTTTTTTTCAGTACTGGGAATCGAACTCAGGCCCTTGCACTTGCCAAGCAAGGACTTATGCCGCTAAGCTGTACCCCTAGCTTAAAATAGATTTTTATCTGTCTAAGAAACCTAATTATATGTACAACAGTTACTAAGACGCTGGAGCACTTCAGTAATTTATATGCATCTCTGATGAAACAGAAATGCTTTCTGCAGGAGATGAACACCAGAGATCATTTATGCATGTATGGCCAGCCGTAGTCACCATATTTTACTTTCAGTATATTGTAGAGCATCATCAAAGTATGTTTTGCAGTTTAAGAAAGCTGTGATGGGTTAGGGAGCTAGCTCAGTGGTCTAAGTGCCTGCCTGGCAAGTGCAAGGATCCAGGTTCGATCCCTGGCACCACATGCCATGTTGGCCCCGGGCATGCTATACTGGTCACCAAAACCAGGTGTGGTGGAGCACATCTGTATTCCAAGCCCTGGGGAGGCTGAGACAGGAGAATCACTATGAGTCTGAACTGTGTAGTGAGACCCTGTACCAAATAAATAAATAAGACATTAAAAAAATAAAAAAGAGGGCTATGACATTTAGTCCTTTTGAAACACTAAGGCAGAGTGAATTAATAAACTAGCTGTCAAAAAATTAAAGTATAGAAATACTTTCTTTTATTGGTGATAATAGGAATCTGTCTTTTTACTAGTAGACTTCAAAGGAAAAGTATAAACTAAATTAAGACTATAGAAACCCACACTTAGGTTAATAATGTAGTGACAATGCCTTCCTAGAGAAACAACATTTAATAAGGGCATTCTCCTCACATTTATGAGATGTTTTACAAGGTCACAAAGAGAGTTATAAATCTAATGGTTGCTACTGAGTTGTTTTATAAGCTAGAAGACAGCATTCAGCAAATGAACAAAAAAAAAGACAAGTACATAATCATACACAAAGATATGGGTATGTCATCTATGGATGTGGTTTAAAATGTACTTTGATGGTTTTACACATTGTGTAAAATGCTATTTTATTAGCTATTTTAATAAAAATGCTAGGACCAGCTAAAACTTTAATTCAGATATTTTAAATTTCCTAATTCACACACCTGGATGTACAAGTTTGTAAACTACTATAACCAAAATATTTGTAAATAAGCATTTTTGTACCACACTCACAATGAGAATTTTTTTTAATTGAAGAAAAGGAGAAGAGATTTTTAAATATTGGTTTTACTTTGTTTATGTAAATTAAATCCCAATTCAAAGCCTTGTATAATTTGTCCTGTTGAAATTAACATCCTTTCTTTGCATCACATTTCACCTGAAATTTTCCCTGTACGACTTGATGCCAATGTTGCACTATATGTTGCTGATGGTGATGAATTTTATTGAATAGGAGATCAAAGCTTAGCTATTTTGTTCAAGGTCTTGCAGCTTATAAGTAAGGTACTGTGAATTACTCCTCAGAAACCTGACCAGTCTGCCCGTATTGTTAATCTTTGCACCAGTGATAGATTTTATTTTTTCTCTGAATCCCTTTTATATTTTTAATGTGGAGGCATCTGTCTTATTTAGTTATATAACTTCCAGAATATTTAGAATTATACTGAATATCAAACAGGTAATATTAAAAGAAAATATTGTATACCCAAATTTCGGTATAGTTGTATGATTATAATTCATCTCATTATTTTACTACTTTTATGTTTTCCTAATGTTTCTGAACAAACATAGGTCAACATAGAGTACTTATGAGTAGAAAGTTCAGTCAAACACAATTGTTTTCAAATTTCTTTTCCTTCAATTCATGACTAATAAAGGTAATGTAGCTCTTCATTTATCAAGTCCATAGAGTGAGAAAATTTATTGAAAAACAATTGTTTTCCTGGTCTGTATGTGTGACAGCTGGTGTTAATGTGTGAGATTTTCTGCCACAGATTTAACCTGCCAAGATGGGCAAAGAAGTAACTATGCGTTTAAACACTGAAAAGATTTAAATTCAGATTTTACTACAGTGCATATAGTATGCCACCGAACATCAAGTTGACTTCCTTCCCCTTCAATTGAGAGAATAACTGAACTACATTATAAAGCTGTCATGTCATTCATTTTAGCTTGACACAATTTTAGGCTTAGAGGAGAGACAAAAATTGAACAAAGAATTCCAGCATGGGGCCAGGAGATGGCTCAGTGGAATAAGCACTTCCCTGGCAAGCACAAGGGCCTGAGTTCAATCCC